AAAAAAAAATGGTTTTTTTAGGGCCTTTGCCCTTTAAAGGGGAGGCGGGAACCCCTTTAGCGCCTTTTTAAATTACCCTGGCCAAATTTTTTTAGGACCCTTTTTTTTTTTGGGGGGTAATTTTTCCCGGTTTTTTTTAGGATTTTTAAAAAGGTAAAAATTTTCCGGAATTTTTTTTTTTTTTTTTTAAAATAATTTTTTTTAAAAAAAGAAAAAAAAAAAAAAAAAATTTTTTTTTTATTGGAATTTTTTTTTAAAAAAAAAAAAAAAAAAACCTTTTTTTTTTTTTTTTTTTTTTTTTTTTTTTTTAAAAAAAAAAAAAAAAAAAAAAAAAACTTAATTATTATTATTATATTCTATATTTTTTAATTATATATATATATAAAAAAAAAACAATTTTTATATATAAAAAAGAATTTTTTTTTTTTTTCTAATAAATTAATAAAATTTTTTTTAATTAATAAAAAATACAAACTTCTAGAAAAATAAACCTATTTAAAATAACAATAGTCTATTTATATAAATCCTCATCTTTAATTATTTTATAATTAAGGTCCAAACCATCCAAAATAATACCCAGAATTAGGTCCTTATTGAGGTTATTATTATTAAGGTGGTACTTATTATTATTAAGGTGGTACTTATTATTATTATAAAGGAGGCGGTACTTATTATTGAGGAGGAAATCTTTATTATTATGGAAATCCTTAAAATTATTAATTTTATTAATATTACTAAACATCTTAATATTATTATTATGGTACTTACTAATACTATCCATATTATTATTATTATTATTAAGGAGGAGGTTAATAGTATTATTATTGTTATTATTGTTATTATTGCTATTATTAAGGAGGTGGTGGATAATCATACTAATTATTGCATCCAATTTAAACTCCCTAACCTTAAAAAGCTTATTATTAAGGTTATTAATAAATATTATTTCCAATAAAATTTTAACTAGGCTTTTTTTTTTTTTTTTTTGATTATATTTAAATAATCCATTATAATATAAAATATAATTTACATCAAACATTTATTAAGGTTATGTAATATATATATATGTAGGATCACTAGGATCTATTAAGGCTTCATTTTAACCAAATTAACCTGATCTAACTTATTAATTAAATTTCTCATTTGGTCCTCGAGATGATCTAGTCCTTGTTTCCCTCAAAACAACATCAAAAAGTTTCAAAAATTTATGGCAACCTCCACTTTTGAACCATAATTTAATATTAGCGATATCGGGAATTAATCCATATAAAGGTTTTACTTTTACTTTAAATTTATTTATTATAAATTAATTAATATTTAAATTACATTCCAAATAATTAGAACCGAATACAGGCTATTCGAATTTTTCACCAAACATGTTAATTAATGGTATGTCAAATGATTTAAATGGCTCTTTTAGCCAATTTTCGTTTACAAATACTAATCTGCATGTAGTTATATATAGCTTTTTTAAGATAATATATATATAAATAGATATGTTTTAGTATATATATATATATAATATATATATATATATATATATATATATATATATATATATATATATATATTTATTTATACTTAATGTATAATATTTTACTTTTCCAGTTGCTGATCGCTTACCAAACTATTTGAAATTAGGTATTTTGACTTCAATTTCTACGTTTTATCTGTCTAAAATAAAATATTCACCATCTACTCTTAAGGGAATTCCTTATTAGGATAGTGGAGGATTTTCAGCCATTTTATATTAATTTTTTGTTATATTTTTAAAAAAAATTATAGATATATATATATATATATATATTTATATATATTATATTTATATATTATATATTATATATTATATATTTTATTTTATTTATTATTTTTTAATTGCTTTATTTATTAATGTTAATACAATATTTTATAACTTTAGATAAAGTAATAAAAAAATATCTTTAATTTATAATTGTATATTTATTTTGTTTATTTTTATAACAATTTTTAATAATAATATAATTAAAATATAATATATATTATAAATAAATTATTCTATTAATACAATCAAATTGAATATTTATTATATAATTTTTTAATAATACAATAGATTTTTATTTTTTAGAAAATTAATAAATTTTTTAGACAATTTATTTTTTATAATTTATATATATATATAAATATATATATAAATATTAATAAATATAGATATTAATAAAAGTATATAAATATATAGAAATAGATATAGATATTATAATAATATAGATATATATATATATATATATATAATTATATATATATATATATATTTATATATATTTATATATATATTTATATTAATAAAATATTTAGATTTTTACATAATTAATAATTTATTTTTTAAAAAAACATTAATATATTTTGATATTATTTTTATATAAGTATTATATTATTTACCTAACTTATTATTATTTATGATAATAAATATATATTTTACTAAAAATATATAAAAAATAGTTAGTTTAACTACTTAATTAATTTTTTACATATATTAATATTTGAATTTTAAATGTTAATATTAAATTTTTATTATTTTTTTTGTAAATATTATCATTGTTGTAATAAATCAATATAAATATTAATATATGTTGAGTATTAATTATATATTTTTAATAATAATCTTTATTTTTATAATTTTTAATATAAAAATAATTAAAATAGAACTGTTTTATTTCTTTAAAATAGAATTTTTATTATTTTTTTTAAATTAAATTTTCAATAATTCTCTGTTTTGATTTAATGTTCTATAATAATTTAAAATTTATTTTTTAATATAATATATAACTTATAATATATATAAATAAAATAATAATTATTCTTATAAAAATCATAATATAACTTTAAATATTTAAGATTAAATAATTTATTAAATTATATATTTATAAATAATTATAAAAAAAAGTAGTTAATTTTAATAAATAAATATTATTTAAATTTCTTCATTATTAATTTTTTATATTATTTATATATTTTTTTAAATAAAATATTAAATTTAAATTTGTTTTTATGAAACAAAACTAATTTTTAGTAATAAAAAAAATATTTATCAGTAAATTAATTTTATATAATTATACATTAGTATAAATAATAAAAAAAAAATCATCTAATATTATTACTCTAAACAAGTAAAATTAAATAAATTATAATTTATTTATATATATAAATTTTATAAAGAAAAAATAAAAAACATATATATTTTGTTTTCTAAAATGAAATAAATTTAAAAAACAGACAAGGCATAGACTAATTAAGGAAAATAAATTTTTAATCTAAAATTCATTTCAGGTATAAAAAAAATATATATATATATATATATATATATATATATATATATATATATATAT